ATCGAATTACGGACGAGTTTACTTTTTCGGACATTAAGAAGAGAAGATGCCTTGGAACTGCACCTGTTGCGCCAGCTACGAATTTTCTGATAAATAGCCAACGCGTTAGACTAACGCGATCTTGAATCACCCATCGTTCCTCCGCTCGAAAAGAGCCGCGATAAATAATGCCAGCCTCTTGCAACCGATTACATACTTTTAAACGAACCGTTTACCTTCCGATCTCCGAAACTCGCGCGTACGCCAAATGTTTGCGAATGAGAGGGGATGGTGGAGGAAGGGAGGGAAAAACGCGACGATTGCGATTAATCGCGACGCGAGACTATGCCGATCGTTTGAATTTCCTCGTATGCCTGCATCGTACCCGATGATATTTCGTCGACGTATTTTAACGAGAATTTTCCAACGCGACCGAGAGACGCGGAGAGATCCAACGGTGATCTTTTCGCGGTAATATACTGCTAATTAACTTCCTCGGAGTAGCAATGGCATGGTGGATGGCAGGCTCGATAGACGAGAGATCGATTCGTGCGGATCGCAGTCGTGTTTCTCGGCGTCCTTTCACCGGGACATCGTAAATTAAACGGAGAAATTAGCCCGAGCCACGCTGCATGATTCGTAAAGCATATTTTGTCGTTTCTTAATCTATTCGCGCCTACTTTCGCTGACGGCTTCATCCTTTGCCGTTCCCGCACATGCCCCCCGCCACGGATTTCCTCGTTCGTACGTTCGAAACGCGGATGGAAAATTCGAGGAGATTTGTCACGCGACGATCTCTGACGAAGCGTGGCAAGTACGCGTAGGTCGGACGAGAGATGGAAACTCGATCCGCGTCGTGGAGAAACGCGGGATTCCGCAAAAACGTCATCGAAAGCTGAATTCGCTCGGAAGCCCTGGCACCACCACGGAAGCTGGCGAAAAACTGTGGCGTTTACGGCGCCGAAACTCCGTAGACTGCCGTGGATTTATGTACGCGGCGTGTATCCGCGCGCGCGCACAACGAGATTTATCGGCGCTTGGCCGAGTTTCGGTAGGGCAAGTTGAGTGAATTGTAAATGTTTCCGGCAGAACTTCACCAAGATGGCGTCCTCCACCAGGGGCGAGTTTGTTTACGCCTCATGGCTCCCCACGTGGGAAAAGCAGCATGGCGCGCGTCGAGCATTCAAACCCACGAATCCACTAGCCGTTTGACGGCTGTTTTTCTACCAGCGCCCACGAAATTTCGTCCACCGTTTTCATTTTATACCAAATTTCTTTCTATTTTTTTCCCTCCTTCTTTTCTTTTCCCTCTTTTCCCTCTTTTCCCTCTTTTCCCTTTTCCTCCCATTTACACGTCACGCGATTCGCAGCTGTATCATTGCGTTTGGCAAAAAGAAAACGAGAAACGGGGGGGAAAAGAAAAGATGGAAATATCTCCGATACGAAGCGAAAGAGCGAAAAGATGGTGGAGAAATTACAAGTTTGCGCAAGAGAAGAATTACAGTTTAAGCGATTACGACGCCTACCGATAATCGTTTTTTTCGGATCGAAGGAAAAATCGTCCAGGACGCCATTTACGAAGCACGTTTCTCGACGGGCGATAATTTACGTTGTTTCCGTGTAAACGAACACGTTGAAAGTTACGCGCGCGCACACACGCTACGGGTACACGCGAAAGACGTAGTTGACGTTATAATTTCAACGAACGGCATACTACGAGTGGAGATAAAATTTTCCTCGGACTTTATAGTAGTCGGTTTAGATTAACCGATGCGTAAAGACGTTTAACGTACGCGTCGCGAATAACTCGTATTCGATGAAATAATTTAGCCGCGTCGTAGAAATAAATAACGCACCGGGATCGATTGCGAAATCGAAGGGAGAACGACGAATGTCTGGAATCGATAAAATTTATCTCTTCATTAGCCGAGCTTTCTCGGTTGTTGAAAAAATGCGGTTTTATCGAGAGGACGAATACGGGAATGAAATTACTCGGGAAAACGACTCGCGGTGCTATCGGGTAACGTGCTACACGTGGTTTCGCGTACTATACCGGAGGGAAATGGCAACGACGGGATATCGAACTCGCATTTTCCACGGAAAATTTTCGATATACCACCCGCGCGCGTTTTCGAGTTTCCGCGTCGGCGAAAGTTTCGCCGCGTTTTCCAAGCTAGCTCGCCTTCTTTCCGCTCGGTACTAGGGCTATCGCGATATCGGAATTTCACTTACATTTCATACGTTGTGGCGCGTGCTGTTTCCTTCGGGGCATCTGCGTCCTTCGGGGATGCTCGATTCTCTCTGTGGCCTCCAGGTCTTCGCTCGTTAAACGCAGTCGATCGGATCCGAAACATGTGAGACGGTCGTGTGTCGAAATCTCGCACGCGAAGATCCGGCGTTAGGATCTTCCGCGGGAAACTGTTCAAAGTTTCCCTTCTCTGTGCACTACGGTCACCCACACGCGCGTATCCGGAGAGCACTACTACCTCATCGCGATCTCGATAGATCGTTTGGTCGTCGCGACGATCGGTGTATCGGCGATCGATGTCATCTCGTTCTTTGATTTATCTCGTTTTACTACCACGAACCGCACCTACGTCGGTGCCCGGGTGCATATTATCATACGTGTACACTACTGATCACGAGAACGCAACTATCGGCTATCGTATACGAACAGGATACGATTATTTTCCAATTTCTAGATCGCAGACTGGATAGATGCACACGGAATGTCGCACACTGATTGCACTTTTACAATGGCCGAAAGAGTCGCCAAGTTTCCTCATCCATACGCGATCGGTCACCAAAACGTGATCAACGCGATGTTTACGCGTTGCACTGTCGTTGCATCGCGGCGTAGGAGAGACGGACGTGGCACGGTTTGCAACTTTTCCACGATACTTCACTGTTTCGGGAGAGTGCAGGGATGCAGGTGTTGCACGGACGAAGGTTGCAACGTCGGATAAGCCGCACCTACGAGAGATGATCCAAGGTAAAAGTGAGAAGCGTGTGGCGTCTTCTAAGAGTTGCGCGTCGCGAGGGAGACACCAAGATGTTCGGAAAAACGATCGTACGTTCCTCCGCGTGTGTATCGCGTGTGGAAAAAGCGGCACGAAAGCAACCTCGATTCCCCGCACTTTGAACGCGTTACGCGAGTATCCACACGACTTCCTATCACGATCGTGTGTCACTGTGAGATTCGCGAATTCACTTTGCGCGTCGCGATGCTTTTCTTCAAAGTCGATCACGAGCACGAAAACGGGCAGCAACTCGGGACGAGGAAGACGACGGCGACCAAGAAGACACGGTTGATCGCGGTGCAGCACGGCGCAGATCGCGCGCGGTTCTCGAAACGGAGGAACGAGTCGTCGTTGAAAGATGTTCGATCCTCTTGTAGAGAGGATCGAAAATTCTTACGATCGCGCGATAACTTATCTACGGGTCGTGTGCCTCGCGACGACGCCTTGCATCCACTCGGGACGCGCGCACGACACTCCGCCGTACGTACTTACGTTCGTACGTACGGAGCTAGCGAAAGCTCGCTCGACAGAGGAAAATGGAAGAGAGACAGAGAGACAGAGAGACAGAGAGACAGAGAGAGAGAGCAAGAGAAACAGAGGGAGAACCGATACGCGATCGCATCTGTGTGTTTGCGCGAGCGTGCGTGTCTGTGTGTATGCGTGTACGTGCGTGTGCGTGCGTGTACGTGTATGTACCTTGGAGACCAATTGAAAGCGCAAGGGTGGAAAAGAGGGACGGAAGGAGAGAAAGAAGAAGGAGGAGAAGAGGAGCACGAAAAATAGCGAGAAGGATAAAGACGGAGAGACGAAGAAACGGTTGGATAGATACGGATGAAAAGAGAAAGAGAGGTAAGAGAGGGAATGAGAGCGTGTGAGCGAGCGAGAGAGAAGTAGAGGGGGAGGGAGAGAAAGAGAGAGAGAGAGAGAGAGAGAGAGAGCGGAGGATAGAGATAGAGAGATAGATAGAGAGAGAGAGAGAGAGAGAGCAAAGGGGTAGAGGGCAAGAACGTGAGTAAGGTAAAGAGAAAAGAAGCGGAGGTGGAGGAGGAGGTGGAGGTGGAAGTGGTGGCTACCGTCGTTCGTGGATCGCGAAATCGAGCGGGCGGCGGTCCAGCGCTGACTGACTACGGACTGGCGTCGCGGCGGCAGCCCGCGTGGTGGGGGGCCCCAGGAGTAGTAGTCCTCTTTCCATCTCGTAATCGATATTTGTTCTCATTTCCTCGCTTGCCAGCTCTTCCTTGCTATGCTTTGCCTCTTGTTGCCCTCCCTTCACCGACTTCTCTTTTCACCTCTTCCACTCTATACTCGCGTTCGCGTTCACGTCCGCGTTCACCTTACCGACCGATACGATTCGCGGAAATGCTGCGCCGATTACGGCAAACAAAAGTCTGGAAGAAAAGCGGTGCGCGCGGAAGGAGAAGGCGCGCGGACGAGGAAAAGGACGCGAAGCCCGGGACTGGAACGGAGACACGGGCGAAAAGGGCAAACGGAGAATATCGAATGGACGAACGAAATCGGAGAGAGAGACGATACTCCGCAACCGTCGGTTTTCTTCGGCTACTTGTCGATTCGACACCGCGGCAATAACGACGAGGGGGCTGGTGGAGAGAGGTTAGCGGCGGCGCAATGACAACCACTCCACGTCGCTTGGTGCACTGACTGCTCCAACGTGATCGCACTCCGACACACCGACGCGCTTTTTTCCTTTATTTCGGTTCGCACTATGACCTCCCGTAAAAAAGGAACGGTCCGCGAATAACGAGACCGGAAAGGTGCGACGAAAGTTCGTCGATGGGCCCGAGGGACTGACGTTGCGCTCGCGCGCGTAAGAGATGGTCGAGAAAGGAGGCGGGGTCCCTAACCACCTCGGCCCCGCTCCGAAGCGCGAGAGGGGAGAACCACTCTGTACGAGTAACTTTTCTTTTCGCCGCTAGAGGCGCTGCGCCACGATGTAGCTTACCACGGTACTACGGCGTCACGGAGCCACACCTACGAGTTTCTCGACATTTTCGTCCCTTTTGAGATTGCCCAGCATTCCGCCGACTCTGGTGAGTACGTCGTAGCTATTGTCTATCCTCGAGATACGCGATACGATATCGCCAACTTATCTGCCTCTTGCGATTAACTCGCCACCGACGAATTCTAAAAACTAACCTCAAAAAGTAAACGCGTATCGCGATGTGTTTCTTAACGCGTGTTCGATCGATGTTTCGCCGAGAATACACGCGACGATGTCAAATTTCGCCGAGTCTCTTCGATATTTGCCCGATTAAGCGGGAAAAGTGAAAAAAATAGGTAAACGTGGAGTTTAACGTTCGCGTGGAAAATGTGCGCGTGTATGCGCGTATACATCGGACGATACGACAGGATACGAGTAATAATAGCGCGATCGCGATGTCGTAACGTGCATACGTATATGCGTAACATCGAAATAACAACGCGGATAAGCGCTTTAAAAATATAATATTCGAATTTAATCGATATCGTCGTAATCGCGCAAAGGAAATGGTCGAATAACGCGTGAGGCGGTTACGTTGTAGCGATAACGAAGATTCTCCTCTCAGTTTAAAAGATCGTCGAATCTTGGCGATTACACGAGTCGGAAAAATGCTCGAGGACCGCCGAAAGGGAAGAGGAAAGTTTAACAACCTTCTTTACCTCGTACCACGCAAACCGTACACTCGCTATCGCGAATCGACGTTTTCGGATTAACACTCGTCGCTCTTTTATTCTCGAATCGCGAAAGCGCGACGCTGTTTTCGCGAAAGGGAGGGAAAAAACGATGGTTTTTCGTGCGGAATGATCATAGTATCGCGGTTATGATCGCGACTGTTTTTCGGAAAACGTCGAGGTTTCTCGGAAGCTTTGGATCTATCGCCGAACTAAGGACGAACGTTAGCCCCGGTAGCGGGTATTTTACGATAATTCGGGGCGAAGATTTGAGTTGGAAAAGAATCGGAAGGAGGTCGAAGGATACGAGTTCGTCAGACTATAGATAGTTGGTGAGCGGAGATCGTTTTGGCGGGCACCGGTGGCGGCGCTGCCAAGGTTGGCGGAGCCGAGGGGAAAAGAGCATTGGCGTACCAACTACCAGGTTGTGCCCGCCTACCAGGCGGAGCCCGCATGATCTATAGCGTCATAGAACACCCCTGCCGTTGTGGTAGGAACTCGATGGCGACGCCCACGGTGTGGAACGTGCGCGCTGCCCCCGCCGCCTCCGCCGCCACCGCCGCCACCGCCGCCGACGTCGCCGCCACCACCACTGCCGCCACCGGGATGTTTATGCTCCTGCCGCTGTGTCTCTATCTAGTCGCGGTCCTGGCGCTGCGCTGTTCTTCTTCTGCCGTTTCTGCTACCGATGCTGCTGCCGTCGTAGCTGCCGTCGTAGCTGCCGTCGTTGCTGCCGTTGCCGCCACCGCCACCGTCACCACTGCTGCTACCATTGTCGGTCGCCGTTCCCGTTGCCATCCTGCCCGCGCCGTAGCTGTCCTCTTCCTATCTCCAATTTATCCGGCTCCTTCCACCTTGCGTTCATTACCGCTAAACATTCCTGTCAATTAAAACTGCACCGACACCCGATTTACTCTTGCCAGTCCGCCATTCGTCCTTTGCTCCACCTTTTTCTTTTTCCATTTTCTAAATTTTATATCCACGCTTCGCAACATCTGCCCTCTTTCTTTTCTTTTTCCTTATTTCCCTTTTTCCTATTTTTCTTCCTTCCTTTCCTTTCCTTTTTCTCTCTCCCTCTCTCTCTCCCTCTCAATGGCAACGATCGTTGCACGCTGCTCCAAAATTAAACATTTTTATTATCCCGCCAATTATCGAAGCGAGCCTCGTTCTCCGTTCGATTATATTCGATACGAAAATGATCCTTTGTCGCTTCGTTTGGGCGAAATTTGCTCTTTGCAATTTCAATCTCGAACGCGTCGATCCAGACCCGCCGTAGAGCAAAATCGCAGTTTCGATCGACGCAGAGATCCGACAAAAAATTCCAAATTTCCAAATTTCCAAATTTCGATCGTACGAGTCGACGAATTTTCCGAGCGATTTCGTATACACGCGTGTACGTATCGTTCGATGAATTCTGCGTCTTCGTGCACGGAAAGAATTTCTTCGAGAAGCAGCGAGTATTCGTGGCAATTGTCACGCCCGAGTTTTACGCCGATGATGTTAGGGATTTGGAGGCGGTGGCGGCGTCGGCGGTGGCGGCGGCGACTGTCATAAAGAGTATTTTATTTCGACGATCGTGGTGCCGTTTTTGTTCTGGGGTTGCGAAGCGATCGTGTCGTTTCTACGCGCGTCAGACCAATTCAACCAACGCCGCCGACATTCGCGGCCCGACGTTTACGAGATCGTTTATTAGGTGACGTTCCCATCGAGTAGTTTTGTTAGCAGCTGAATCTTTTTCTTTATTCCAGAATTCGCGTTAAAGGAGATTCGAACTTATCGCGATACGCTATAGTAAAGATTCTGCGGTATTTACGAACGTTCCCGAAATTAAGGATTGTCGTGAAATTTTCGCTGAACGTTGTATGGCAATAAGAAAGATATCAATCGCGCCGAAATTGGTATGCCGATGACGAATATAAATTGATAGATTATCTCGATGTCTCGATTTATCTACGTTGTCGGAGAAATTGACGAAGCGGTACCAAGATTATCTTTGATGGTCGAAACAAAAGAAAGAGAGAGAGAGAGAGAGAGCGAGAGGGGGGAGGGAGAGGAGAAGACAGAGATCGGGAATTGAAAAGTTTGAAAAACGGAGTTTCGCACGCGTGGTGGTAAGCGTCAGTTGCGTTTGCGTCTCTCGGTGACTGCAGGGGTTCCATTTACGAGCGTTGCCGTCGTCGGTGGACGAGACCAAAAGCACTAAACTTGCGAATATTTCGAAAGACGTCCCGTTATGCAACGACAATGTGGGTCAGTGCACAAGTCCACCGTGTACGTTTGCTCATTTTGTACAGTCAGTTCCCCGCGGGACCCGAAATAAGTGCACCTCGTAAAATAAAGTACCGTATACACCGCTTTTCCCAACTATCTACCGTGGTGGTATCGTCGATCTTGTGACGTTCTATGACATCTCGAAGCGTGCGCATATATTTGGCGAATGATACGCTTACGCATAAGCGTGCCGATCGGTCGATCCACGCGAAACCGAGATTTACGCTCGTCGAGAAGAATCGATAGTTTCGAAAATTGCCAAGCTGTCGAAATTACGTAAAAAGTGGCGATTTGTGGCGCATTCCGAAAATCGAACGGCGGCTCCGGAGCAGAACGATTCGAACGAATGGAAGATGGACCGTTGAACCGAAAACGGTCGAAATACGTGTAAAACAAATTCTTTCTTTTTTTTCCTTTTTTTTCCTTTTTTTTCCTTTTTTTTTCATTTCGTTTACCTTTTGCATTCCGCGTGATATCTTCGATAAACACGAACGCGTATAGGCACGTATACGCGACACGTGGAAATAACGGATACGCGTGACGTATTAATTCGGCGGCGAGTATACTTTTCGACGATGCCGGTAGTTTTTTCGGAACTAGACTGGAAAGTTACGCGTACGAGATAGTTTATCAACGGCGACGTCGATCCTTTAAGCCTTTACGTCGTCGAATTATCGCGCGTTATTTCATTGATCGAGAAACGAGTGGGTCGTGCCGATTAATCGTATTTCGTTGGCCTTTCCCGAAATGATGTCGTTAGAAACGTTGGATAAGGAGGAAGGGGGCAGGGGGCAGGGGCAGGGAGTCCGAGGGAACGAATAAGCCAAACGGTACCCTGTAGCGTTTGGACATGACCTCGACGTTTTCTTCTTTTATCGGATTACCGCCGAAAACAAAGGTAGAACGTTCTTTTCCGGTTTCTCCGAAAGCTCCGTTTCCACGCGTAGGTCAGCCGGCAAGAATAAAACGGGTAAAAGAGGACACGCAGAGAGGAAGAGGGGGATCGCGTGGAAGAAAGGAAAGAAGAAAGAGGGACAAGATTCGTGTGGTTCGAGGGGGCAATACCGAAAGCTAGGCTCGGTCGGAACGAAGTAACCTTCGCGGTTGTCGAAAATAACTCGGGCAATAGAAGATTAGAATTCGCTGCCAGATGAAAAGTCCAGTGACCAGACCCGATTTGTTTGAAAATAATTTCTTCGTTGTTTTAACGCGGAGAAATCACAGACGAACCCCCGCGGTTAATCGAATTACCAAGGTTTCGCTCGGTCGGTGGATCTGCGTTTTTTCATACCGATCAAAGTCCGCGACTCGCGATGCTTTTCGGATGCATTATTTCCAGCGAATGATACATCAGCGCCGGTATCGTCGATCGGAAATATCAACGTCCCGCGAAACCGAGAGCGGCAAGAGACGCATACGATCGTACTTTAACGTTCTTTCCGCGTAGTGCTCGCATATTTTCGCGCTCGTTGAAACTTTACGACCACGATAAACTTTACGCGTTTCTAACGTAACGAAATCGGCTTCGGCTCGATTCGTGAATTATCGGGTATCGAAAACGTTTCGAGTTGCCGACGAATACACGAGTCTTACCGTCGAATATCGCGCAGCTATTATTCGCGGGCTACCTGTGTGTACTTAACGAAAGAAACGATGGAGAACTGGCGCGAGAAAAAGTCGCGTGTACGTTAAACGTTAAACGCGTTGACGCTTTACGCAACGCATTTTCGCAACGATGAATACACGTAGGGGAATATAAATCTCTCGGCGATATATCTTTCGTTTTATTAGACTATATTATGCGAAACGTATAATCGAGTCATATCCGCCGATATAAATTACCCACCGCGTACTAGCGTCGCGTCAACCGTTGTTTTTGCCGGCGAAACACGTTCCCGGAGTTCGATACGAAGATTCGGACAAGAAGGGGAGGACAAACGGAGGAGATACGCGGAAAAGTTTCGAAGAAATTCCGAACCGCGAGATTCAACCTCGAGTTTCAGGTTTAACCAGCGTAGGCGGAGAATTCGTCGGGGCAATTAACGGCCGACTAACGAACGTCATCGGGTTGGCGCGTGTGAAGATTTTCGCGGAAGGGCGAGAGGAAAAAAAATGACCAAGAGGAGAGAGAGAGAGTGAGAGAGAGAGAGAGAGAGAGAGAGAGAGTGGAAGAAAGTTTGGACGACAGGAGGAGAGGACAGGTTTGCCCGAACGAGCTTGACGGAGCACACGAGGCACCGCGAACCTTAGCCGATTGGGGCAAAGTCTCGAAAACGAAATCGTCCTTTGTAGTCGAAATAGGCGCGCGCGATTCTGTCTCGGTGACGGTGGCAGAGCGGGTCATGGGTGGAGGGTTGGCGTCAGCGTGTATAGCAGCGGCAGCATTCGCAGAAGGTTCGGTATAGGGAGTGTGGCGCGTGGTCGTAAGGGGTCGCGAGGGACGGGAGGAGGGGGAGAGTTGGCCGTGCGAGCTGGTTGACGAAGAGGGTGGGGTGGTATGGGGTGGTTAGGTGGACGAGGATGGGGTGGTTGTCGACGATAGGGCGAAGAAAGAGGTGGAGGAGCGCAGAGAGAAGCCGAGGTCCGTCGGTATCGATCGGGCGTCTGCGGTAGATTGACACGTGTCATGGCCGCCTCTCGGTGTTCGAGAGAAGCCCAGGTAGCGGGAGAAAGAGGGAAACGTCGAGAGAAAGGTGGCGGAAAGGAGAAAGGGAGGAGAGAGTAGAGAGCGTAGAGAGGATGGTGGCGAGAAAGAGAAGCAGAAAGGAAGAAAGGCAGGCGAGACGAGGAAGGTGGCGAGGCAGCGAAGCGGTCGAGGGGATAGCAGAGCGTCGAAGGTGGAAGAGGAGGAAGAGACCGGGGTTGGTTGGCGCGGGGGGGAGGCGAGGGAAAAGGACATTAAGGTGCGTAATAGCCAGCGGGGCGAGCGCGCACCGCCGCGGCATCGATTAGACAGAGGCTCCCTCGTCCCATTGCTAGGATGCAGCCCTCCCCTTCTCCTCTTCCTCGTCGACCCACCGACATACTCACCCTCCGCGCTATATCCACCCGTCCACCACCCGCAACCCATACTCTCGACCGAGAGGTCCCCACGACCACCCACCCAACCACCCACCCATCCACCCGCCTCCGCCTACTCCGTCGAACTGGAGAGCCCCCGAGTACGTGCTCTACATACACACTCGTGCGCTTATGTCAGTTCCTGTCCTGCCGTTGCCTCTGCCTCTGCCTCTGCCTCTGCCTCTGCCTCTGCCTCTGTCTCTGCCGCTGCCTCTACCTCTGCTGCTACCGTTGTTACGACTACCGCTGTGTGCCACCGCTGAGAAAGAGAGCGACAGACACACGAGCGGAGAAAGAAAGAACGGGAATGGGAGAGATAGAGACGCGGCCACATGTACACGGTGAAAGAGAGAAAGAGAGGGAGTGAATCAAAGCCGGTGAAGGAGAAGGAGAAGATACAGGAGCGAAGGATAATAAGAGGGAATGAGAGACGCGGATGTAAAGGGTGAGAAGGGAGGAAGCAGCAGAGGCTACGCTGGAGGGTAGGCGAAGCCACCTAGCTATCCTATGGCACCTATACACGCGCTACCGGGGACACCAACGTCTAACGTCGTTATAAACATTAACGGAGCGGCTCAATATTCCCCGGACCTTGCATCCCCTGCGTCTACCTCCGGTCCATCTCCCTTCTAGACCAACCTCCACCTCTTTGCGCTCTACCTATCTCGGACGTTCGTCCATGGCTATCTCTCGCTTACCCACCTACGTTCTTCGGACCTTTCCGATTCGCCAACGGACGCGACGAGACCCCGGCATGGCAAGCGCTCCGTGTCGTTGTTTTTTCCGTTACGCGGATTCGTGTGATCCGCCGTTGGCGAATCTCGCCACGGGTCCACGCGAACCATCGGGGAGAGTAAGCGTCGTATAGATCACGTCGTGAGAGACGTGACGGGACCGTCGCGAGAACGCGGTGGAGATCGCGCTCGATCAAGTCGAGGGATCCCGTCCGATGTCACCGGGGACGATGAAAGTACGAACTACGGTACGAAGCCTGAAATTGGATTCGCCGTGTGTTTTAAAGATCGATTTCGGCAAGAGCGACGAACGAGAAGGGTAGAGTATAGTCGGCCGAGCGAATTCGTACGCGAGGGTTCGAGCGCTGATTACCGTTAATTGCGGTTGATATGGAGGAACGAAGGGGAACGTACGAGACCCTCGAGCATTTCGATCGGATTAGCGACACCGATCTCGGAATCGCCGTGGACAGGGACGAGACGAGACGCGACGCGACGCGATGCGACGCGACGCGACATCCCGTGCCACGAACCGAGTAGCAGTCTTTACGATTCTCTCTCGTTGGAAACGAATCGACGATATGATAATAAACGCGTGTCGTTTCTACCACCGCGTCGAAGCGAAAGTCGCGATTTATCTCGAATACTGTTCGTTCTTGCACGTTGCCTGGATCGTACACGGTTTCGCGTTCCACGCGGCACGTGTAATTTAGCTTCGCATGGCATCGCTACAGAGGGAATTCGTCTAGTTCGTACGTTCAACAAGTATCCATCCCACCTCCACCTTCGGCGGCTCTACTTCCTCCCCGTGGCTGCAGTTAGATCGCAAAGTGGCCACGCGTTCTTTCTAACCAGCCGAACGGCTGGTTATTTTTCGCCTACGAGAATCGAACGGGATAGCGGCGTTTCCTTGGTAGCAGGTGCGCTGTACTTTTTCCTCGTAACACGATGGGTAATAAGGGATTAGTCATCGGTGATCGTCGATCAACGTTAACGCGGCCATCGGTTGGTTCGAAGTCTCCGCGCGATATGTCAAAGTTGGATATTATATTGACGTATCGACGTCTCGATGCTGTCCACGACCGCTAGCCAATTAACGGGCTTTCTTGTTTTTCCGGCAAACACTCGTAAATCTCGACGGATCTGTCCACTCGATTTAGTCCTCTTCTCCCGTATCGTGGCTCGTTCGCATCTTTCTCCCCCGCGTCCGTGCACGCGTGTTCCCCTCGACCGTGGTATACAATTAATATCGTTGTTCGAGAGGTTGTCTCTCCTCTGCAAATATTTAACGCGTTGCGACCGTCCTAAACTTAATTGGCACGCGTTTGCTTTGCTCCGTTTGCGTTTACTCGTGCCTTGCGAGGCGAACGATCGCGTGACGCGTACGACGACACGCGTTCGACGATACGCGTGCAAAGCGGTCCTTCCGAAAAACCTGATACTCGCACGGACGATTGGACATTGGACAGGCGGTCAGAGACGTTCGAGGAATCGCGAGTGAATCCGCGATGCGTGCGTTCGGAAATGAACGGATTCGATTCGCGGTGTCGTTGTTCCGGCACGCGTACGAATCCGCTGGCGCCTCCGCGAATTCTCGCTGGGAAAAACGAAAAGGAGAAGGTTGCGTTCGTCGTGGTGGAGCTAGGTTTCCCCTATAACTCGAGAGTTCCGCTATCTCGTTACAAATCGAATTTTAGTCACGTCAAAAGTAAACGATCCGGCTAGATCCGCGCGTTAAGCGATCGGGTCGCGCGGAGCGTGTTTCGAGCCGGATGGAAATCTCATTTGGTAGTTTTCTTCGTTTAATAAGACGAGAGGGAGACGAGAGAAAGGGCGAGAGAATAAGAGAAAGAAAGAGAGAGAGAGAGAGAGAGAGAGAGAGAGAGAGAGGGAGAAAGAGAGAGAAAAGACGGGAGACAGGGTATAGGGAGACGGAGCCACGAGGTCGCTGCCGGTTCGCAGACTTCGGAAAGGGGAAACGGAAAGGGCGCAACAAGGCCGGGGGTAGAGGTAGCGGAGGGCGTCCGGGCGGGAGGAGGAGGAGGTGGTGGAGGAGG